AGCCACTCTTTTTTTTGATGAGTGGTATTGCGAGAACGGGTTACCAGCTGACATCGTCTCCGACAGGGATAAACTCTTCGTGTCGCGGTTCTGGAAAGCGTTACACCGTCTCACAGGTGTTAAACTGAAGATGTCAACTGCGTACCACCCAGAAACCGACAGCGCCAGTGAACGTACCAATAAAACAGTAAATCAAGCTCTCCGTTTTCACGTCGAACGGAACCAACTGGGTTGGGCACGCGCGTTGCCTCGAATTCGATTCGACATGATGAACACCGTCAACAAATCGACTGGCTTTTCGCCTTTCCAACTTCGCATGGGCCAAAGCCCCCGAATCATCCCTCCTCTTGTACCCGCCAAATCGAATGCTACCGTCACAGACATTGACGCATGGCATGTAATACGGAAACTGGAGACGGATGTTCTCGAAGCGCAGGACAACTTGTTGAAGGCTAAGATTTCACAATCTACTCAATCGAATAAACACCGCACACTGAAGTTCCCGTTTGAAATAGGTTCTCGTGTGCGATTATCAACATTGCATTGACGGAACGATTACAAGGCGAAGGGCAAGAAGCGCGTCGCAAAATTTATGCCTCACTATGACGGCCCTTACACCATTATCGACGTCGACGAGGACCACTCAACGGTAACACTTGACCTCCCGAATTCTCCCAACATCTTCCCTGTTTTCCACACATCCGAAATCCTTCCCTACATTGAATCCGACACATCTCTATTTCCTTCCCGCCATCTTGAAGAACCCCGCCCTATCATCACTGAAGACGGACAAGAAGAATACTCGATCGATAAAATATTGGACACGCGCCGACGAGGTCGTGGCTACCAATATCTCGTTCGTTGGTCCGGCTACGGCGCAGAACACGACAAATGGCTCCCAGGCTCTGAACTTCAAGATTGCGAGGCTCTCGACCGTTGGTTAGAATCGCGAGTTGGTTCACCTTAATTTTAGGTAGCTTTCTTTCGACCTTGCCAGCGGTAGCTTTTTCCCACTGGGTTTTGACGCACCCGCGCTCGGATTGCACTTACATCTTCAATTACTAACATCTTTTTTTTCCGTTCCTTTTTCTTTTTTAAAGCGGGGGAGGGTGTAATCCCGGGATTACGCTTTGTTTGGCATCCATTCTAATTTTAGCGCATATTTAACTTACCATATGCTTCGCTTCTTCTTCTCTTTCTTTAGAACCACAACCATCTCTCTCTCTCTCTCTCTCTCATTACGCTACTTTTCCATACTCTCAGAATCATACACCTGGTTAACTTCTGTGAGTATCATTAAGTTCTTTGAGTGTTTTCTATCTCCTCTTCTAGGGGATAGTTTTCCACACTGGGTCATCGTGAAAGAGACTGAGAAAAGTAGGGCTATCTGAAATGTGATGTTGAGCAAGAATAAGAATGAAGATAATGATAGACTTGCAAAGTGTTTTCACTAGCAGCAAGCACTGCAACCCAAAGCACATTCATTGACAAAGATACATTGTTGGGATTTGCCTTGGAGTTATAGGAACCAATGTTATATCCAATGAGGGGGCTGTGTTCAGGGTTCAGGGTCCATATCTAAATATAGAACAAAGTAAGAAAAATGGCTAGCAAATCAGAAAAAAAAATGAGTAAAAAAAATTAAAATGATACTTTTTCTGTTGCCATATGATGTATGAGGGGCTGTGTCCAGTGTTCAGGGTCCATATCCAAATATGGAAATTTAAGACAACTATGTAAAAATATTATCATATTATGCAATATGACTATATCATCAGACTAGCCTTCTTGCTCTTTGAGATATTGGTCAAAAATGCATGACAATTTCCAAAAAGTGTCCAATTTTGTGAGTATTTTGTGTTTTTCTCAATGAGGAATGGTCTGCATGACATTATTTATATATATTTGTAAAGGTAAGGAAAGGGGCTACAATTGTTGTTTATGGAGCTAAGTGAGAGGCTGTGTTTCTGATACCATGGGAATTTTAACCCAAAAAAGGAAATTCATCACAAATATATAGAGCATGCTATTATAGGTTACAAAATATAACTAACCATCTTCTTTCCTGAGATATATGCAAACAGGACTGTGGGAATATTTACCATAAACAGAAAAATAGTTATAAAATTGCGAAAATTTGCTATAAAAAAAAGGAACAATAAGAATAGTAATTGTTGCTATGATATTGATGGCTAGGCTCAGGGCTCAGGGTCCATTTGCAAATATAGAACAAAACTCAGAAAATCATAAAGTGATTACATGTCATTGCAGCTCAGGGGATGTCAGGAGGGTGGTCACATGACCAATTTCTTAAAATTAAATTTAGAGTCCACAGGAAGGACTCATACATGCCATGCAAAGCACTGGCCCACACCCACAAGTACTTCTTTGTCTCTGCGTTGACGAGGTGAAATGAGCTGGTCATCAACAATGATTCCAAGTGTAACACACAAGGCAGGTGTCTTGCAATCCCGTATGAACACGAGAGGCCCACCCTTTGTTTGACCAGATGTCTACTTGGCGATGAGAAGTGACGGATCGATGCGAGAAAGGTTGACAATATTGGACATATAGTCCTTCTCAAACATAACCAATCCTTTGATGTACCTGTAAATCAGATGCAAATATGAGTCTCTCAGTTAGAGAAAATTTGAAAGAAGACATACTTCAGATTGATATCGGGGTAGACGCCTCCAATGCTAGAGAAGAGGATCATCCCATTTCCATCATCATCTTCTTGGTCGTTGTTGTCCTTCCATGATATAAATTTCAAGCCACTAGATTTATAAGGTTCAAGTAAGATGTATAAGGACACATTATACTTATTGATAACTTGCCTAGGCAGCTTGGTCAACTTCTTATATGTCTCCTTAAGAAGAGGGTCAACAAGATCAGAAGTGGCAACTCCACATTTAGACAACTTCAGATAACTTGGGTAAGTTCAAGTAAAAGAATAGAAATAATTGCCTAGGGGAAGGATCACAATCAATGTCTTCTAAATAAACAGTCTTTTCACTGATAATGGGTTAACATGGGTTGAAAGTAAAAAAAAAATCAATAAAGCACAAACCCGCCATCTGTCTTGTCACCATCGGACATGACCTCATCCTTGTCAAAGACATCTGGAGCAGTTTTCTTTTTCTTCGACTTTTCAATGCTCGCTTTTGTCTTCAACCTGATTAAAATTGAACATGGGCACTGAATAACTTCAAAACATACACAGAAGTGTCGAAGATCACTTGACGACCTTTATTTTTAAGGTGAAAAGCAAATGAAGTTAAATCTGGTTGCAATCTAACAGAATAAAACCCACTTTTTTCCTGTTGGTGTTGGAGAATCATGACCGGATTTGCTAAACAACATAAGGTTATGAGATTGCCACTCAGAAACAGCATGGGAAATTACCTTGGGTCATTGTCACTGACTACAGATTCCAGTTCATTATCATTGTTAGAAGCAGTGCTAGAGCGAGGATACAATCAATAATTTTATATGGCTACAAGGACAAAAGTTGATGTACACTTCACTCTTTTTAGTGGAAGCCACTTTACTAGGAGAGGTCGCCTTGTTACTCGCAGCTGGAGTTGTCTTGGCCTTGGTGGGAGAAGTCTTTGTCTTGTTAGCCACCTTGGCCTTAGCTGGAGTGTTTTTGGAAGGAGTGGCAGGAGGATTCTTAGTCATAGAAGGGGCTACCCTAGGTTTCTTTGGACTGTCATGTATGGGGCTTTGAAATTTGATATGAGACATAAAAAATCATAATGAGATGAAATTGAACATACCTTGCAATGAAAGATGCCTCTGAATCAGATGCAGCGACCTCATTGATTGTTCTCTTTTTCCCTCTGAACACAATGGTTAGATTTTTACTGATATAAAAATAGATAACAAACTTTGATGGGGTAGGTGTAGCAGTAATCTTGCGGGGTCTTCCATGTTTGCGTGGGGTGGAGTGTACCTCCACAATCTCTGGCTCACTCATACTAAACAAAAAATGGAGCTAAATGCATCAAATATAAGTAAAAATGAGTGATGCACACAGCCTCTTCTTCCCCTTCATCGTTGTCATTGTCCTCTCTGTCTTCCTCATCAGACGAACTTGGATAAAGTTTGGTGAGCAAACTGAAACTAAGGAAAGCGCAGCCTAAAAACATACCCCCTCCTCTTCATAAGTCTCCTTTCCATCTGACTCATCAGAGTCGTCGATGAACTCTGTAGAAACCACAGCCTTCTTATGATAGAAACCATGAAGTCAAAACAAAGAAGGAAAAGAAAGGAAATGCACAAGGAGGAGTGAAAATCAATCCTCATTTATATGACATGGCATTTAATTTGTATAGAAAGGATATAGATGAAACAAAGAAGGACATCAAGGAGGTGGGGACCAGAAACCCTGAATTTGTAAAAACACCAGAAGTGCTAGACCCTGTAATGAGAGAATTTCCAAGGGAAGTGTAGAATGTGCATTAGACACTGCAGGCATTGGCTTATGTAAATGGCAGATAAAGTGTGAAAACATTGTGTAGAAATTAATAAAATTTACACCTTTCCTTGGCTGGATATATCAGGAAAGAAATTTAAAATATCTTCTTCAATATCTTTTCTGATTTATAGATCGTGGTTATTATAAATGTTGATGGCAGAGATATGGGAAAGATATTGTAAACCTTTATCTCCTTTTATAGCAGGTGTTGGGTCACACCTGGAACATTTGTCATATATGGCAATTTCTTTGTAGGAAGACCACAGCATGATCTTTTCAAGCTATCTGATCTTTCGGCGCTGCACACTGGTAAGTACCATAACACTCGTTGTCTTGACCTCAAGTTGAACTTACCGACATGCCAAAACTGCAGCTTTGAAGACAAGAGGCTGTGCTTACGCCGTTTTTTCACTGGGTGGAATTTTAGCTGGCAGGGAGAGGAGGACACCTTGCATGGTATGTCCTTCAATTCTTGACCAATCCCCATTGTCTTAGGTTTAAATTAAACCTACAGGCATACTAAAACTGCAGCACTGAAGATGAGAGGCTGTGCTTTTGCTGTGGGTGGGATTTTATTTGGAGGGAGGAGGAGGACATACTGCAATGTAAGTCCCTTGATTATTGACCAATCCTCATCGTCTTGGGCTTAAACAAAGCCCATAGATGTACTTGAGCCACAGCGCCAAACATGAGAGGCTATGCTCATGCCGTTCTTTCGCTGGGTGGAATTTTAGTTGGGGGAGGAGGAGGACATGTTGCCTGGTATGTCCTTTAACTCTTGACCAATTCCCATCGTCTTGGGCTTAAATTAAACCTACAGGCATACTTAAACTGCAGCATGAAAGATGAGAGGCCGCGCTTATGCTGTTCCTTCGCTGGGTGGGATTTTAGTTGGAGGGGGGGGAGGAGGACATGTAGCAATGTAAGTCCCTTAATTCTTGACCAATCCTTGTCGTCTTGGGCTTAAATTAAACACATAGATGTACTTGAGCTGCAGCGCCAAACACGAGAGGCTATGCTCACGCCGTTCTCTCACTGGGTGGAATTTTAATTGGAGGGGGGAGGAGGACATGTTG